CCTGCATCCCCAGCAGCAGAGGGTGCGGCTGCCTCAGCACCCAGACAGGCACAGTGTGCTCTCCAGCACCCCAGCTTGGCCTGTCTTCAGACCCAGCCTGGGTCAGACTGCATCACACAGGCAGTCCCATGGACTTGCATTTTGCAGCTGTAGCACTCCATAGCTGTAAGCATTTGGATGTTCAAGAGATTAAGATTAGGAGCAGGTCTCTCATAGCAGGGTTACACTGGAGAGACACGGCCTCAGCCATGCTCAGAGATGGTTTCTGAGGTGGAAGATAGACACCGTGTACGTGGAGCCTATCCACACTTGCCCATGCATCTCCATCCTCCAGTCCCACAGCATGTTCTGCTTCATAGTTCCAGGAGTGACTGTGTCTTCCCTGAGCTTGGCTGTCAAAGCCCTCCATCACATGCAGCCTTTTTAAACCAAGGGGCCTTGGTGGCTTAAAGCTTTCTTCCCTAATTCCCCCTGTTAACTGTTAAAATGCAATCTTGACAGATTCCCTCTGCCAGAGATCCCTCAACCTTTTCCTTCAGGAGGCAGCTCTCAGGGTCAGTGCTGGGACAGTTTTCCTTCCACCCAGAGGGAATATAACATCATGAACAAAGTGGCTGCCAGAGATTTATTTTTCACTTTTCCTTCTAGAGAGCTACTTTCCATCTCTAGGAGGTCTTCCTTGCCTCAGCTGTGCTCCACAGCTCTTGCCCTAGCCAAGGAGATTTGGGGGAGCAGCCAGTACTCCTATAAGAATGGTGGGAGGTCTTGAGGGGTTGAGCAGTGTGAATAGCCTCTAGTGTGCTTGGAAATAAGTGGAGTAGGACTCATTCTTCTCTACATAGGGGCCTTTGGGGCACATGAGGGAAGGGGGTAGTGGGTTTGGTTTTTTTTTTCCCCACCAGTGGAGTATCATCACTGAAAGGAACAGCTCACCTGTGTAAGTACATCCCTGGGGAAATATTTGCATAGAGCAATGTCCAGGTTAAAGGCATCCCAAGCAATAACAGCCAGCAGAGAAAGCAAACACTGTCTAGGATCCTTAGATCTTCACTGAACTTAGACCGAATGTATGGTTTTACACCTGCTGAGAACCTTTTAATTTATAAGCAATATTTTAAAATGCTTTGGAAGGGGTGGCTAAGCTGCCTTCAGATGCTTTTTGTCCCTCCACTGACTGTAGAAACTGTAGGCCATACCTACCTGACCACATAGAGACATTTATGGTGTAGATTTGTCTTCTGGAGTCCTGCTTTTGTCCATTCCTCAACTCCAGAAACCTGCCTGGGGCAGCCTGGGCCTGCCATCCCAAACCCACACTCTCTGTGAAGGTATCACTCAGAGGAGATCCCTCTCCATCTGCCACAAGAAACCTATGGCATGAGAAAAAGAGAGAAAGAGGCAGGTGACAGTGGGGAAGTGAACAAGACTGAGTGAGCGAGGGCCAGCTCCAGTGGTGCTGCTCGGTGCAATGGGCCATGGCTGATGGGGCAGAGGTTCAGGTCATTGTTGACACCTGATGAAGACGAGTTTGGGCAATGCCAGCAGTACACCTGCGCTGCTGGGAAACCTGTGTGTTGGTATGCAACCTGCACTGAGACCATTGCTTTTGCTTTGGAGATCTATCACCTGTATTTAGTGTAATTGATGGAGAAGCAGCAATGCATCTGAAAGCAGGATGTGGCCCAGGCTGCTGCCAGCCTTAGGGAATTCCCTCAGAATCACTGGCCAGTGAAAAAAATTGCTTAACTATCCAGTTTTGCCACAGTTCATTTTTAACAAGGGCAGTTCACTGCTCAGTTCTTGCCCCTCCCAAGAGAGGTAAGACAGGTGACCCTCTGGCATGCACCGAAACCTCCTGTGGGATGGTGTGGGATGGGGACCACCACCCCAGGTGAGGTCCCAGCTTACCAGGATGCAACCTGTGTAAACCAAGATGCTGAGTTTTGGGCTGGGCATGATTTTACTCAGGGGTCCTCAGGGGAGCCCCACAAGGGAACTAATCATGATTTACAGCCCATCAGCCATCGTCAGGGGAGAGTAGTGGGGAGCAGAAAGCCACTCTGCTTATGGTCAAAACAGAGAGCTTTTGGGACAGTGAGATGTGACCATCTGTAACAGAGTAGGCCAATGACACAGGTGGCTCTTCCTAGTCCTGTGTACTCCAGCACTAAATTGATCCCAGTATGGATTTCAGTGGAGTTGCACAGGGCTTGTGCAGTGGTGGGTGAGGCCTTTAGGCTTGTTGAGATTTCAAGAGGAGATTTCCTGGGGAACGGGATCACGCCCCTTCTTTCCCTTAACCTCTCCTGTTATTGCCATCTGATGTGGTTACAGAGACGGGGCTGCTCAGCTCCCTGCCGGCTTCCAGCCCAGCTGGCATGCAAGCAACCCAGAAGTAGGCAATACCTTGCAACACTCAGAAACCTCCCAAAAGAATATAGTGATGTAGCTGATGATATCCACCCTCAAAATGTCAATTCATCAGCACCTGAAGTGTCTTCAGTGCTACTGGCAATTATTATGAGAAATGATTGCCTATATTTCTAGAAAAAAAAGAGAGATCCAGTAAAATTCTTCTTTGTTTTGTCTTAAAGTTATTGCAATGATGTTAGCAGTTTTACATTTTACAGTGTCAACACGTTCTACACGCTTAGTAATCTCAGATAAAGGTTTAAACTTCTTTTTCTCTTCCTTTCCTTTTTAAAGGATCTGAAAACAGCTGTGAAATGTGAATAGATTTTAACTATTAAGCCCAAGCTGCCAAGATGTTATTTCCTGTAGCTTTGACTCATGCAACTGAAGAAATAAATTGGATCAGAATATTGTTTTGTACCAGCGATTTTTGTCTCCCTCTGCCACCCCCAGGCTCGGCTCTATTTAAAGCCAAAATACCAAGGCATACTCTTGTGTGTGCTCGTTTTTCCTGCTGGTGAGGCACCTTATCACAGGAACTGCTTGCTTGGAGCAGGGGGAGTCTGAGCCCACAGGAGCCTGACCCGGGCTCCCAGTGGTCACTCACTCACTAGGTGAGGCAGTCTGATGTCATCTGGTGTGGGCTGGTGCCACTCACGTCCCCCAGGGTTGTATGGTGAGGAGAACAGGGCTTTCTCCACAAAATTTATCATCCTGGGCTGATTGTCTGACTTTCAGTGAGACCCAGCCTCAAATCCATGACTGCACATCTAGGAGGTCTAGCAAAAAGGTTCAGACTAAAAATCAGCACATGAAGTCACGTTAGCAATTAATTTATGTGAGTATGTTTGATCATATTCGCATCTGCATTACTTGTGTATTTCATTTGGCTGCCAACAGCAACTGCTAGCACAGAACGCACCACCTAAATAACTGCTCTTCATATGAGGGATGGCAGGTCATAAGACCAGTGTCCCCGCTTCCTCTGTCTCAGCACGTCCTTTTATAGCATTTATGCCATAGCAAGGCGCAGCCAAGTCAAAGAAGCTTCCAGATACATCTCATCTACTGCAGTGTCATTACCAGCAGCTAGAGGCTGTGTACACAGCTAGACTCCCTCTTGTGCAGAGGTCCTGCACGACATCTATGCATCATTAATGTTGCCCTCACGGAGGTGTGTAATTGCTGCCTAGGTGTTTTGGTGGCTTTCTGCCCAAGGGTTCATTTCATTCTTGATGTATTATAAATGATTATAATACAGTGGCTCTTAAAAAAACCCAGAACAACATAAGGTAAGTATGCTGGAGAAGCTTTTGCTAACATCCTGGCCTGCTCTCACAGATTTAAAACTGTAGAAAGCACTGACAGCCATCTTATGTGATTACAAGGTTGCTGTCACTGAAGTCACCTTGAATAACAGTACCTCATTCAGATGTGCTAAGGGCAAAACCAGAGGGAGACTGTTGTCTTAATTTTCTAGAGACATTTAAATTAGGCATTGTAGTGAGATTGTCAGTCATGTTATCTGGCTGCTGAGGCTTTGGGACTGCAGTGCTCTTATTAACTGGTTTACAGCTGACATTGAAAAGGGGAAAAGGACCCTTCAGCTTCTTGTGTAAGACTGTTAATGCAGAGCGCCATGGCTAGGAGGCTTTGGACGTCCAGGTGCTACTTGGTGTTACCGTCTCCCGCCCTGTTCCTGAACTGCAGTGATGCCAGTGGAAGTCCTCCTAACCAGACCATAAAACACCAGTTGCATAGCAATTTAGTTTGGAGGGGAAAGCATTAAGCTACCTGGGGAACAACTGCTAGCCTGTAGGAGGGAGGACGAAGGGAGATGCTTTTCCTTTCCAATGCTGGGGAGGCAGTTGCTATAGACTCCGTCTGTGTCCACTCCCAGGGCAAATACCCATTGGGAAGTTGCGTTAAATTAGTGTGGGATACATTTCTGTCAGAGGTTTGGTTGCTCAGTTTTGCAAGGTGGTTATCATTGAGTGCTGCAGAAGAAAGGCAAGACTCCTCAACAGGGGTGGACAGGTGGATCTTGCTGCAGGTATGGAGTGATTTCCACTCACTGAAAACCAGAAGTTTTGTTTCCAAATTCAATCCTTAAGCTGAAAGTAGAGGAGAGAGGACCAAGGGAAACTATGATCACAATCTTCAAAGCCAGAAGCAGTTGCTGCAGAGTGGGAGACTCCTCATGCCTGTGGGGCTCAGGGAAGAAGTCATGGGCTTTAAATAGCACCATGGGAGGCCTGGGTGAGGTATCTGGGTGAGCAGCCAACAGCCAGGGCAGCTGCGCACCACGACAGACCATCTGTGAAGACTGAGAAGGTTTTGTAAGGCAAGCATTTATGGGGGATGGACTCAGCCTAGCTAACCTGGCTTGGAAACAGGAGGTGAAGAGGTGCCTCCAAGCCTGTCCAGCCACGCTGCCTCTACACTGGCACTTCTTGCTGAAGAGGGGAGCCAGCAAAGGGAGACAGAGGGATTTGCATCTTTATCTGATGACAATGCCCCTTACCTTTATTCTTTTCCAGCTAAGCTATAACTAGGAAAGAAAGAAGAGCAGAGGACAGAAAAACAAGATGTTGGTGCTGTCTAACAACACAGCCCTGAATTCACTCCTCTCCAAGCTACTTCAAGACCACCTGGAGCAGACAAATAGCTCTGCACCTTCCCAGGTCAGAAGTGCCAGCAGCCACTTGGAAATCATCTACGTGCTGATGATGATTGGCCTCTTTGGCTTCTTCACAGTGGGAGTCATGCTGACCAACATCCGCGCCAGGAGGCTGGAGGACTCCCACGACCCCTACAACACCTACATTGCCACAGACATTTGGCACAAGAAGGACAGGGAGTACTTTCAAGCCAAGCTCATAGAAAATTACAAACTGTGCTGTGTCTTTGAGAACAAGCTGGCCGTGGAGCAGCCAAACACACAGATTCCCGAGGCGAAGTCTTCCTAGCAGAACGGGAGAAAGCATTGCTCTTTGCACAGGGACAACCCGACCCATACCTGCTATGAACAAAGCTAGCTGCTTGCTCATCTGCAGAGCCACAGACACTGGCCTCCATCAGGCTGAATAATTGTGAACTGATGGTGAAGCTGATGAGTCTGATGGCCCTGGTGCTGTAAGAGAGCCCAGCCACCAGTACTTTGTTGCAATCTCTGTAAGGTCAAGAACGGGAGACATAGATAGGGAGCATCATGGAGTCATCAGCTTCACCTAGCGAAAAAAGCAAATGGTGGCATTGCCAGTGTGAACGCTTGCAGTAGTCCATGTAATTAGAACCAAATTGGATCAAATGCAAGCTAGAGGCATTAACTGCCAAGCATGGTTTAGGCAATCATTTTCAAGTAAGACCAGTTTCTTCCAAGAAAAAGTAGCTGAAATGTTTCATTTGAGTTCTTGTTCAGCATAGAGTAATCATTTTATAAATCGTATAATGTTGTGGATTACCTTTTTCTTTCAGAATCATGCACCTCTTTCTTTGAGATAAAATCTTTGAAAAAGATTCCCATTTTTTCTGAAAACCATTTCTGTCAAAAAATGCAGACCTTGGAGGGAAATTTTTTAGTGACAATCTCCAATTCCTAGCAGGTACCCCAGACCCATCTTGCTGGCTACTTTTGGTTTTTCTTCTTATGGATGAGGGTTGATTCCGGCAGCAATATCCACCCCTGTACAAAGATTCAACAGCCCATGGGGTCTATGCCATGCAAGTGTGTAATGTTTTGAGAGTTTCAATCACATGTAATTGTTGCACAAGATCTAAGTACTACCTGATGGTTGGAAAGTGAATTTCCACTCTGAAGAGCAGTTCCACAAAGTCTCTGATATTTAGTCACTGATGCAGCTTATGTCTGCTTAACTTAAAGCCTGTGAGCAGTTCCTCCAGCCCCCAAGAGCAGCCTCCTTTGGTATAGCTGTTTATCTATTGCAGTATTCAATGCGAGATGAGTGCCAGCAAGGTTTTCCTGCCCTTGGCCTCCTTACTCCCTCCTTCGGCAGGCCATGTCTGCCGAGCCGCAGGGGCACAGTAGCAGCCTAACTCAGCTTCTATGGCAGTAGCTATCATCTGTTTCTGTTAAAAGGGAGAAATACAGCTCCCTTGGACATTGTGTTACTCAAAATAGGAACCTCGCTAGCTTGAAGCCTGTTTTGTTGTTTGGGATCAAAGAAGTGAAGGTCTGAGTAGGAGGGGGTTTTTATTTCTGCTCTGCAGATACACATCCCATTTTTAGCTACTGGAGAGGAAAGAGAAGTGGGAAAGGCTTGAAAGAAAGTCATGCAGAGCAGCCGCTTCAAAGGCAAGGCGAGGGCAGATAGCTACCCAAGTATTTTGCCAGGCAAGTGATACCAGTCACAGCATATCCCTTTTCCATGCATAGGTAGTTCTCTAGCATTTCATTAAAGTAATATTCCAGCCATGTCCCTGTTCCCAGAATACTTAGGACGATTAAAAATGCAGGGTATTTTTTTTTTTTAAAGATTTGTATATATAGTGCCTACCATTAAGCTGAGGCATAAGATACATGTTTTCACTGCCTTGAACAGCTTGGAAAATCTCCATCAGCTTAATTATCCGAGTCACTTTTTCCTCTAGAGGAATGTAAACCAAAGCCAAGCTTTGGAAAAATGTTGACTTCTCAGCTTGGGCACTGCTCTTTTGGGATCTCACTGTGCAGTCTGTTTATTACTTGCATTTCCCTCCCCCTGTGAGAGCACAAATGCTCTTGCTAGCTGGTTCTCCAGAGGCAGGCCCATGTAGCATTGCTGACAATGTTTAAACTTGCATCAAAAATGGCCTTTAATTACATTAAAACCTTTGAACGTGAAGCTTGTCAAAAGGGCTCCCTCCTGCAGCTCCCCCTCCACAGCAGGTGTTTTCAGGTATTTTGTGTCTAGGCACTGGCTGGTCACCTTATTTTAATAGCTCCAGTATAGTTATTTGTGACAAGGGTGATTGTCAGCGTTAGTTGGCTTCCACTTTTTTTTTCAGCTCTGCCATTTTATTTATTTATGAAAGAAGGGAACCACTGTGCCTTTGTCATAATGCTTTCCTGTGCCACTAGGCTACAAATCACCCTTCAGTGACAGCTGTGGACTCCCTCTCTGGGCCTTCACATCGCCTTTCAGTCTTGTAGTTCTCCTTTCCTCTCTCTTTTTTCACTTGTACGAGGCAATAAAATATGAATTATAAACCGCGCTTTGTGGCCTCAGATGTTTTTTTCTCCTAACCTGTTTCACAAGCTCACAGAAAGAGTACTGATACTACCTGATGGGCACCCATTCACCCGTCCCCTTTCTACACCCTATTAACCAGGGCCAGACCTGGGTGCTGGGATATCTCTCGGTACACCTAGATCTGGAGAAATATCAAAATGTTAGGAACAAATTCCTCACCTCAAATAAACTCCCAGGGTTTGTAATACCCCGGGCAAGCTTGGCTCTGGTGTTCGGTGCAGCAATCCCAGCTGCAGCCTTCGTGCACGTGTTGCACAGAGCTTTCCACTGCAGCAGCTGCCCTAGGGGAGCCTGGGTTCTGTTGCACCTCCCCAGAAATGACACTGGGCCTGGCAAAAGGGGAGAAATAGCTGTGGGGTAGCAGTCCCCCCAGCAAGGCAGGAAGGTCTTGTGCTACCTGGAGCCCAGTGACTCTGCACAAGGCATCGTTTGGGTGGCTAGCCCTCATGGGATGCTCTGTTGATGCAGGACACAGGGGAGGTAGGCGTATGTATCAAGAGATCTTAAGGGTTCAGGCCAGCCCAGTCTCTCTGCATGCACTCCTTGAAAAAGGCTCTGAAATTCCTTTCTATATAGCTCTGGATTATGTAATAACAGTTTTGGAGATGTAAAGTGTGAGCCAAGCTGCAGCCTGCATTGCCGAGCATCCTCCAGGGCTTGTAAACTCAGCTCCCACTTGCTCTGTCATTACCACTGACTCATGCAGGATGGCTGACACGGGATCCATCTCTGACTTCATGTAGTAGGAGAAAGAGCATTCACTGGCCAAGAAGTGCCTAGAAATGTGTGATTAGTTCACTCGCTCATCATCTTTGCTCTAGACCAAAGGCCAGCAACAAATCTGTCATATAATTACCATTACACAGAGCTCGTGTTTTCTGATTTCCTGATTGTGGGGGAGATTGAAGAATCTGAACTTCATTAGGCAAGTGTTGCACTTTCTTTGGCCCAAACTTTAAAAGTCTTTTGCTCAGGAGGCATGAAATAGCCAGGGAGACTGATAGAGGTTTATTTTCATCTGGTCCCCAGTAGCTAAAGTCCCTGGCTTCATCAGCTGTGGCTTATTCTAGTCAGTAGCCTCGCTGATGTGGCCTAATGAGCATACCTCCAGGCACAGGTATTGCTCTCTGGCTATTTATGGTTTTTTATAATAGGAATCGCATTACATAGAAATGCAAGCATTATACAGAAACGGCATTTTGAATTTAAGCCGTACATTGTTAACAGCAACATGATGATAATGCATAGAGCTCTCAAGCAAAATCAAAGCCCGATACAGCAAGTTCTCTCCTGTATATATTTTGAGGGGTTATTTTGTACAGTTGCAGACTAGCCTGGAAGTCATGTGGTACAAAACCACACAAATTAAACGTTTATGAATAACTTTAGTAGAGCACGAATGCAGAGAACATTCTGTGCAGTACCTCTTGGAGGGGAAAGCGAGTCTTTACACCTTGGGAGAAGAAGGTCCAGGGCAGTTTTGCACTAGGTTATGTGGCCACTGACTCATGGGAAGATGAGGTCTCCCTCTTTTCCCCTTTCCTGCCTGCCCTGGAACCCTGTCTGGGTTGCCCAGACTCTGGGCAACTCTGTGACTGTTGCAGCCTCGCAAACCTAAAGCAGGTCTCCTCAGGCCGCGCCTGCAAAGACGTGGCAGGAATATCAAATGCAATGCCTCTACCAGAGAAGACCTCCCCATCCACACATGGAACAGGGTGCAGCTTGCAGCAGGGTGCAGCTACTCTTCTCTGGCAGCACACAGTAATTTGCTGGAGTGGGAGTATGTTTACCTGAGGATACGTCTACATGGGCTCACACAGGGAGTGTATGGGTGGCCCTAGCTCAGCATTAAGGTGGCCAGATGCCAGCTTTAACTGTAAGAAAGCATGGGTGCAGTGCTGAGGTTGAGACTAATATGCCCTAAGCAGTGACTAGAAGTGGTTTACATCCAGGCAGCACAGAGCCCAGGGAAGCAAGTCTGTGCTGATTCGTAGCTGCATTGTAGCCTGATGTGCACAACTTTCCCATAGAAAGCCCAAACTGAGAGCTCATCCTTTGCCCTCACTGCAAAACCCTCCCTCCCTTCTCACTGTCCCGAAGAGGTTCAGGCCCTGGTTCTTATTTCCCATCTCATGGAGAACTTGCATCTGCAGCAGCTGGCTTTTCAATACACCCAGCAGAAATCCTTAGAGCTGCAGGTACAAGAGGTCAGAACCCTAGTATTAAGCGGTCCATCTGGAAAATACTTTACAGTCAAAGGCAGCCCGAGTGTGCAAGTCTGAAGCGAGTTCCGCCTCCTCCTCACTTTATAGTTATCAGTGTTATCTTTCTTTGCAGTTGGTTGGGTCAGACCTGCTACACCGGGAAACGTGCACAAAGACAGGCGGAAGGAAACCGATAAAAATAGAAGATATGAGCAATCTGAAGAAAGCAGAACATACTTTGCAGCTGATAACTGGAATTATCTTATGTAATATTTCTATGGCATCCTGCTTCATTTTTACACGTTGTTATCACTATGCCAAACTCACTCCCTAATCTCCTTATCCAGCTGGAGCCATCAGCTATGCACGTGAAACCTTCATGAAGCCTTTCTCAAGAAACTGCTCAAGGGACCAGCACAAATGTGATTGCTTTGGCAATCACAATGCGATTGTGATGGCAGAGGAGGCTGTGAAAGGTCACACTGCGTTTCACCCGTGAGGTGGGCAAGAGGC